CTGAATGGAAATATACCCAAAGTACCTCATGAAAGTAGATATATCCAAAGTACCCCCTAAATAGAGGCTTACCCAAAGTACCTTCTGAATGGAACTAGACCCAAAGTATCTCCTGAATGGAACTATATCAAAAGTACCTCCTGAATAGAAGTATATCCAAAGTACCTCCTAAATAGAGGTATAGCCAAAGTACCTCCTAAATAGAGATATATCCAATATACCTCCTAAATAGAGGTATACCCAAAGTACCTCCTAAATAGAGGTATACCCAAAGTACCTCCTGAATGGAGGTATACCCAATGTACCTCCTGAATGGAGATATATCCAAAGTATCTCCTAAATAGATGTATATCCAAAGTACCTTCTGAATGGAAATGTGCCCAAAGTACCTCGTGAAAGTAGATAGATCCAAAGTACCCCCTAAATAGAGGTATACCCAAAGTACCTTCTGAATGGAACTAGACCCAAAGTATCTCCTGAATGGAACTAGATCCAAAGTACCTCCTGAATAGAAGTATAACCAAAGTACCTCCTAAATAGAGGTATACCCAAAGTACCTCCTGAATGGAGGTATACCCAATGTACCTCCTGAATGGAGATATATCCAAAGTATCTCCTAAATAGATGTATATCCAAAGTACCTTCTGAATGGAAATGTGCCCAAAGTACCTCGTGAAAGTAGATAGATCCAAAGTACCCCCTAAATAGAGGTATACCCAAAGTACCTTCTGAATGGAACTAGACCCAAAGTATCTCCTGAATGGAACTAGATCCAAAGTACCTCCTGAATAGAAGTATAACCAAAGTACCTCCTGAATTTAGGTATACCCAAAGTACCTTCTGGATGGAGATATATCCAAAGTACCCACTAAATAGAGGTATATCCAAAGTACCCACTAAATAGAGGTATGCCCAAAGTACCTCCTAAATAGAGGTATACCCAAAGTACCTTCTATATAGAGGTATACCCAAAGTATCTCCTGAATGGAGGTATACCCAAAGTACCTCCTGAATGGAGATATATCCAAAGTACCCCCTAAATAGAGGTATACCCAAAGTACCTCCTAAATAGAGATATATCTAAATTACCTTCTAAATAGAGGTATACCCAAAGTACCTCCTGAAAAGAGGTATACCCAAAGTACCTCCTCAATAGAGGTGTATCCAAAGTACCTCCTAAATAGAGATATATCCAAAGTACCTCATAAATAGAGGTATACCCAAAGTACCTCCTAAATAGAGATATACCCAAAGTACCTCCTGAATGGAAGTATACCCAAAGTACCTTCTGAATAGAGGTATGTCCAATGTACCTCCTAAATATGGGTATATCAAAAGTACCTCCTGAATGGAAATATATCCAAAGTACCTCCTAAATAGAGGTATACCCAAAGTACCTCCTAAATAGAGATATACCCAAAGTACCTCCTAAACAGAGGTATAACCAAAGTACCTCCTAAATAGAGATATACCCAAAGTACCTTCTAAATAGAGATATATCTAAAGTACCTCCTAAATAGAGGTATACCCAAAGTACCTCCTAAATAGAAGTATACCCAATGTACCTTCTAAATAGAGATATACCCAAAGTACCTCCTAAACAAAGGTATATCCAAAGTACCTCCTAAATAGAGGTATAGCCAAAGTACCTCCTAAATAGAGATATATCCAATATACCTCCTAAATAGAGGTATACCCAATGTACCTTCTAAATAGAGATATACCCAAAGTACCTCCTAAATAGAGGTATACCCAAAGTACCTCCTAAATAAAAGTATACCCAAAGTACCTCCTAAATAGAGATATACCCAAAGTACCTCCTAAATAGAGGTACATGTATATCCAAAGTACCTCCTAAATAGAGGTATACCCAAAGTACCTCCTCAATAGAAGTATACCCAAAGTACCTCCTAAATAGAGATATACCCAAAGTACCTCCTAAATAGAGATATATCCAATATACCTCCTAAATAGAGGTATACCCAAAGTACCTTCTAAATAGTGATATATCCAATATACCTCCTAAATAGAGATATACCCAAAGTACAATGTACCTCCTAAATAGAGATATACCCAAAGTACCTCCTAAATAGAGATATACCCAAAGTACCTTCTAAATTGTTAATAGAAGTATATCCAAAGTAGTCCTAAGAATGTGCATATCAAAGATACCTCCTGGATATAGATGCAAAATTTCACCCCACAGAAAATGACTCGAGATTTTACAGATACACTACTTCTTTCGCCCAACCTTTTGCCCGCTTCCCCCTTTCAATCTTTTTTTCTTCGCTGGCTTTTGTGACCGCTTGTTGAATTCATCTGGAAAATTTGTTTCATTTTAAAATGCACAAACCTGAAAATATCACCGCTAACTCACTTGTATTTAAAATTCAGACTACAAAAAATGTTCTGAGGTTCCCACTGACTTACCAAAATTTCAAATACTTTTGTTTTTAACTATCTATAATTATATGCACACAATCTTACCCTTTGACCTAGATTTGACTGGGATAAAATGTTCAATATTAAACAATATTCTGACATGACCTACTGTTACAGAAATATATTTACATATTAAATATAACACAAGTACGACATTGTTGTCTTATAATTTTTTATTTATTATATACCAAAATTCGAAGAACATCGGGAATATATTAATAACCATTCCTAGCTTTATTTCATTTCAACTCATATAATTCGATGCTAAAAATGGTTGAAATATAGTTCTGTGACCCAGCTCGTTTTCAGAGCAGGTGACATTCAGCCAATCAATGATAGAGTATTTGATGCAAATTGAAGGGTTCAAACCGTCCAATCTCTGACGTTGATTCACATATATTTTTTTGTGCTGTGACAAGCTTCAAAATTATTCACTAAACAAGCAGCCTGTCAGCTGAGATAGCTCCGCTGTTAGCAATGCACATTGCAATTAAAAAACAGAAGATATCATTAGAAAATGAACAATATGTATAGTATCAAAGCAATTGGACTTGAATTGGACGGTTTTTTACAAGAAGTCGAAAATATTCACCAAAATTAGGGAATTAAAGATATCATTACAAAATGAGCAAATCTGAGAGAGGTCCATATTTAGTAGCTATATATATAATATCAAAGCAATTGGACTTGCGGTATTTACCAAAAACTCGAAAATATCACTTTTTACTAAAAATGACAAAAATATTCACCAAAAATAGAGAATTTTAGATTTTGACATGAAATGAAGAAATCTGAGAAAGAACCATCGAAGGTACTTGCATAACAAATTTGAGAACATTCTGACTTGCGGTTTCGAAGAAGAAGTTGAAAATGTAAAGTTGCCGACAACAACGACGGACAATCAGTAATATGAATATTGACTTTGTCGACAGCAGAGCTAAAAACCAATGTATGGTTCTTGAGATAGCAGTGGAATAGACAGACACACATACATACATACACACACACACACATATATATATATATATATATATACAGACACACTAACTGCAAAGACTCCCATTATGTGCTTTGAGTCAAAAACTAGACCGAGATATCGATTAGTGTGCATGACACGATTCAGTTTTCGTTGCAAGTTTGAAAAATAAGGTAACCAGACTAGGGTCAGTGATTTTCAGAACCAATGGACTTCTGTGTGAATCATGATTTTCAAATTTTTCATCACTGGTCACCAAATATTTACTACTACAATTACATTTGAAAACATTTTCAGGGCATGTGGTTCATTTTTATTTCATGACTTAATTTTTTAAATTTCACTAGACCAACGTGGCTCTTTGGAATAAATCAATAAATTAAATATTTTCCCCCTTTCCTTTGCTCTCTGTCAAAAGAAGTTAGCCATGCCGTTTTCATGCAACTGTCTTGATAATCATTATTGAAAGGAGCAAGCGGCCTCAGATACAAACAGAACACAGTCCTCTATCAGCATGTTGTGGAATACGGTCAATTCACAATACGCATGCATGCTGAATTCATTTAGACTAAATTTTTCATGAAACTATTTCCATAGTCACACTTAAATCTCAATCCATTAAAATAAAATATTACATTGTAAAGTAAATGTCATTTTAGGTGAGTGTTTGGTTGAGCAGTTGGTGTTTTCAAAAAGTGAGCGAACAGAAAGCAGCAATTAAAAGGTGGTCGTTTTCCAGTTGGGAAAAAATAGCGCAATCTGAAATTAGGCAAAATTAGGCGATAAACAGTCAATAAAAAATTATAAAAGCCTGAGTTTTGGTGAAATGAATATTGTATGTTAGGTGTTGTGGGTATACATACAAAATGAACATATAACATGAGTTATAATTATTTGGATTTTTGTGAAAGGCTTTTAGTATACTATACTATATACTTTGTACTTAGAAAAAATTCTGGGTAAAATGGAATAATTCTGTTTAAAGGCTTACCTTTCTCTTGATCTAAATTATTAGTTTTTGCCTTATCTATAGGAGGTAACTTCTCATATCTATTAAGTACTGTATTTCTGCCATTACATGATCCTGACAACTTATCCGTCAATTTATTAGGTGATAGATCAGCTAAATTGTTCAATGTATTTTCCACTTTTTGTTTAGCCCTGGCAAGTGACGCATTAGTATCCTTGGAATTTGTTGATGGATAATTAATCGAGGATGCTCGATGTATTGATATTGTTGCTGTTGTAGTAACTATTGCATGAGGAGAAGCACAAAGTGGCGAATTCACAATTGCGGAGTCAATTTTCGACACAGATTCAGTGCAGTAAGCAATTGAATGCAGTGATTCATGACTTGGATTCAAACTGTTATTCATAGACGGCAACATAAGTCTGTTTGGCCTTGTTGGCGATGATCCAATATCACTAACTTCTGGACTCGCTCTTGGTGCTCTTGGACTGACATTGCCATAGTGATAATGGTGGTGGTGGTGGTGGTGATGATGATGATGTAAATGTACTGATTTCGATCTCCGCCTTTTCTTACTTAATGATATTGCTGGGGTCACTTTCCTTTGTCTCCTACCTCGTATTCTCTTGATGAACCGTGAAAAATGTCTGCGTCCTCGACGTACAAGATGTGCTATGTATTTCAAAATCTCATCATAACATCCTCCGGGTTCTGATGAGCTAGTTAAAGTACTTGTTGAACTTTGTAACTTTCTCCGTTGTTCCTTCATTAATTTACTCTCCCTCTGCTTAGTCTCAGAGAACTGTGTTGCTATGACAACTAAACATAAATTGATCATAAAAAAGGCACCAATCTGTAAAATAGACGTTAAGAGAAGGTAATTACAGAATGACCCCAAGTAAGTTGAAATATTACATAATCACACTTGACGATTAACAACATTATATGAAAGGTGTATATACTCAAAAACACAGGACAATTACTATCACGCTGCATCATTTCTAAGGATTTGGACAAAATACATTGCGCTGTGAACAAAATGTAGATTGTATGTCTACTTACCAGTTATTCAGTCAGAGTTATGCTATGCTTACCAGTTAACCAGTCAGAGTTATGCAGTACTTGCTAGTTATGTAGTAAGTATCATGCAGTACTTACCTATTACACGGCTGTTCCACATAGATTGTATGCAATCAAGGATGTACGAGATAAAGGTATGCAACTTGTATGACTATTTATGTGAGAGTTACACATGCCTGTCAATTGACCAATGGCATTGCAGAGTGCCATAGATGCTTAATGGTTACCAAGGAAATGTAATACATGGTACTAAAGCCCACTAAATCCAACAACCGCATTTCATTGAGCAATGGTTTAATATACACCACATAAGCTAAAAACAACTTGGGACAAATACTAAACAGTTCTTTCATAACATAAGACAACTAGGCTAATTTAAAAATGTGTTTGTCTTATGATTTTGTGATGATTTTAAATTTCCATAGCATACCAGTACTCTCATCATACATCTTTGATATACATTATTAGAGTTTACCAAGGTTGCGGGTACAGCATGATTGGCGCAGTACGAAGATTTCACATGTTAAGATGTTAAAAAAGATAAGTCAATTTGTGTTGAGATGTAATGGGCAAGTTCAACCTTTGCTTTCCTGACAATATAAATAATTTCACTTCTTTCTTTAATTTGACAAACAGATACAATATGATTTTACAAAATTTGCTTTCAAAAAAGAAAATTTAGAAAAAAGCTTTTAAGGAGAAGGGTGCCAGATAGAAGGAAGGGTACATTTCCTTTTACCATTAATCTCAACAATGCAAGGGAAAAGGATTAATAACTGTTAGCACAAAGCGCACGATACTTACAACAATTAGAAAGAAATAATATATCCAAGACCAAAATGAATAACCATCCTGTGTGTAATAGAAAATATCAATCCATCCTTCTAATGATATGACCTACAAACGGGAAACAAACTAAGAACACTGGGTACTAAATTAAAGGGTTTCATGCAGGGAGGGGGCTCAGTAGGGTACTTACAACAATGAGAGTGACAAAATATAACCAGTCCCAAAAGGAATGGGTGTCTTGGAGATAATACATCATTTCAACCCAGCTCTCTAAACTGATAACCTGGAGATGAAGAAAGTGAAGCAGGAGTAGAGAGAAAGAAGATGTGGGAAAAAAAGAGTGATGTGAGTAGTAGATATGACATAATAGCTGCTCATTCCACTATATTGAACATTTCTGAAAATATCATTAGAAACATACCAACCTAAATTATTTTCATTTGCATAAAGTATAATCAGGATATTGGTACATGTATAAAACCAATTATCATAGGATTAGTGAGTGAAATATAAAGTTGGGGTTTTCAATTTTCTTCTAAAATCAAATTTATTCTCATTTTGAAAATTATCAGATTAACAAATATCAATTACAAGACATGAATGTCACACTCCCCATTACTTGATTATAAAGTAGTACAAGGAACATCTGCAAACAGGTGAATGAATATGCACTCTATGTGGGTACAACTCATCATGAAGTGATTTCCCATAATCTAGTTTTGTACTGACAACTAAAAACTTCCACTGACCCATGTTCAGAATCTCAGAGTACACAAGTGCAACAAAACTATTTGTCATACATGTATATTTGCTCAAGAAACTGCATTCATAAATCTGAGTGAACCTTCTTTGGTAATCAAGGTCTTAGTATATTACCAGGAGCTGGGTCAAATCAAAAATGAAATAATTTTGGGAGGGTGTGGTCATTAGTGCAAAAAGCACATCTACTTGAGCCAAGGTGTAATCAAACCAAATATGAATAAAATCGACACCATGGTGGTGGAGATAGCAGCAAAGAACTGCATTGATCTAATTTGCATATTTTTGGGAGGGCGTGGTCACTACTGTTAGAAGCACATCTACTAGTGTCAAGGTATAATCATACCAAATATGAATAAAATCGACACGGTGGTGGCCCAATGGTTGCTGGGATACGAGCAAATAACTGCATTGATCTAATTTGCATATTTTTGGAAGGCCATGGTCATTACTGCCAAAAGCACATCTACTCGTGTCAAGGTGTAATCACACCAAATATGAATAAAATCAACACGGTGGTGGCCCAATGGTTGCTAGGAGAAGAGCAAATAACTGCATTGATCTAATTTGCATATTTTTGGGAGGGTGTGGTCATTATTGCCAAAAGCACATACATGTATACTCGTGTCAAGGTGTAATCATACCAAATATGAATAAAATCAACATGGTGGTGGGAGAGATAGCAGCAAATAACGGCATAGATCTAATTTGTATATTTTGGGAGGATGTGTTCATTACTGTTAGAAGCACGTCTACTCGTGTCTAGGTGTAATCATACCAAATATAAATAAAATCGACACTGTGGTGGTAGAGATATCAGCAAATAACTGCATTGATCTAATTTGCATATTTTGGGAGGGTGTGGTGGTCATTACTGTCAGAAGCTCATCTACTCGTGTCTAGGTGTAATCATACCAAATATAAATAAAATCGACACTGTGGTGGTAGAGATATCAGCAAATAACTGCATTGATCTAATTTGCATATTTTGGGAGGGTGTGGTCATTACTGTTAGAAGCGCATCTACTCGTGTCAAGGTGTAATCATACCAAAATTGTCACAATGGTTACTGAGATCAAAGGAAATAACTGGATTTAGCTAATTTGCATATGTTTTGGGTAGGGTGTGGTCATATTAATAATAACTTAAAAGATGACTTCCGATGATAAGGAAGCTATTTTGAAATTGGGTTCTGAGAAATTAGTTCTGAGGTTCTGATTTCTGAAAAGTATACACTACCGATCAAATACATTTGGAAAAACTTGTGAATCAGAAATCAGGAATTCATGAATCTGAATTCAACAGAATCAATCATTGTAGTAGAGAGGTAATTTTGGAAGAAATCTTGAAAAAGAACCACTTAGGATTTTCAGATCTTCAAAAAAAAATTACGTGCATATGTAACACAGACTTGTTAATCAACCTGCCAAGTTTCATTGACATCTGCTGCAGAGTCTCAGAGACAATGTGAGAGATAACTTGAAAATGAGAAAGAAAGTAAAACTAGTACTCGTACAAAAAATGTCTTAATTCCCTGCACTTACTTCCATGTCTAACAAATGTGTTATTTTAGCAATATATCTTGAAAAACATCTAGTCACACCAAAAATTGAACTTGGATGATATTTTTTAGTGATTGATAAGACTTTCAAGTTTTAAGATAATCAAATATTCAACAGAATCTTAGAATGAACTATGTGATGTGAGTGCTGGAGGTTTATGATGTAGAAATAGACAATATTTGTAACCTTAATTACAAATTGAAGAATACACTTTTAACAAGCAGTATATTAGCATATGGCTATGATCTTTAGGAAGCACAATGTGAAGAAAATGTTTGTCTGCTATTTATCATACAGCAGCTATGTACATAGTTTAATTGTAAAGGTTATTGATATAATTATAAATGTCTTTATTGAGCAAATCAGGTAATGAATATGCAGACTACAACTCTAATAGTATCAGTGACATTTGATTACAGCCACCAGCAGCCTGTATGCAAATAAGGTTTTAATTAGTTTTTATCTAGAATTTAACAACCGTTACACAAGACCCAACTCAATGAAAACGTAAAATTCAGATCACGATAACTCAATGACTGAAGGTCATATGGCTATAACAATTTCAGAACCACGATACTTTTTAGGCCCGACTTTTTTTATTCCTTGTTTATTGACTTTTTATAAGTAATTTTTTTTGAGGAGGGCGAAAAAAAATATAAAATTACCGGTAATTCTTTTCTTTTCCATTAGATTTGTGTGATTCTCAAAAAATTGTAAGCGAGATCATTGAACGGAGAGAAGAAACAAGCAGCCAGTTGGCTGAGATAGCTCCGCTGTTAGCAATGCACATTTCAATTAAAGAACAGAAGATATCATTAGAAAATGAACAATATGTATAGTATCAAAAAAATCAGACTTGCTGTTTTCAACAAGAATTCAAAAATATCACTTTTCACCAAAAATGACAAAAATAATCATCAAAATTAGGTAATTGAAGATATCACCACGAAATTAACAAGTCTGAAAGAGGTCCACATGTAGTACCTATATATGTAATATAAAAACAATCGGACTTGAGGTTTTCAACAAGAAGTCGAAAATATCACTTTTTACCCAAAATGACAAAAATATTTAGCAAAATTAGAGAAGTTGAAATTGTAAAGTTTACGACGACGGAAACCGACGGACGACGACGGAAACCGACGGACGACGACGACGGGCAATCAGTAATATGAACAGCTCCGCTGTGTTGACTTTGCCGACAGCGGAGCTAATGAAATAAACATGATTTTTCTAGATCAAATAAGTTGACCTATAGGATGTCCTCGTCCATGTACATATTTTTCATTATGCTGTGAGTTTTATAAAAACAAGTATTAAAATCATTCTGCAGTTACCATGTATTAGGATTACTCATAAACTGAATCCCCCAAATAACTAGACAAGAATTCACGTACATACTATTGATATAGGGTGTGTTAATTTTTTTGGCATCGTACGAGTTCAAAATGGCGTCGCTGCGCTTGCGTGTAATTGACCTGTGGCGGAAAACTTTTATTATTTCCAAGGTAAGTTGAGAAAAATCAAGATATTATAGTATTTGAACATTTTAAAACTAGAATTTTAATCACTGTGATGCCGTTTTATGATAAGTTATATTTCTTGGGCACTTTCCAGTGTTATGAGCCTGAGGTCGTCGTGAAATGAAACCTGTTAACGTATTTGTCACAAGTATTGATGTTTCTTCAATTGTATTGACATCAAACATAGTACTACATTATTTATATATTACTTTGCGATGTAAACTATAGATAGTACTCTACTATATTTTCAATATATTTCCACTTGTTCATTGAACATTCCAGGATTAAATATTTAGTTACATGTAGTATATGTATAATTATTAGCTTTTATAGAATTTGTAAAATGTATTTCACTGACTGGGAAATGTGCTAAATTAAAGTCTAGTGAATATGTAAAATAAAGAATAAGAACACATTGTCTAAATGACAAAACTGTGGAATACGTCTGAAATGCTAAATCAGTGAAATTTAAACCCAGTGAAAATTAGTCATTTTACAGTACTAGTACATAATAGGATACTTTATTGGTTCCTTTTAAATTGCCATAAAAATTGAAACAAAATTGCTCACTATATACATGTAGAATTTCTATTTTGTTTTTGTTTATTATAGAAACGCATTAATTGTTGATGATGAAGTGATGAACTATAATATCAAGACAGAACAAACAGCTTTGAGGTAGAACGATTTAGAATAATTTGTTAATTTAGTAACTATATTGAAATTTGCATTTTAAATTTTCGGATATTTTAATGTAAATAAACACTTTGAACCTGATATACACTGTGTATGAGTTTTATTAATATGGAATGTTATTTTAAGAAAAGATATGGTAATCAAAACATGGTAATAAAAAAAAAAACTGTAGTAAATTCGCCCTGGGTAGTTAAACAGCAGTTTGGGTTTTTAAAACAATAAAATAGTTGAACTCTGGTGACCTTGCCCTTTGTTATATAATATTATTCCCCTCATCATAGTTTCAATATAAATATGCATTGTCATAATTAATTTTGAATACAAACAAGTTTTGGGGTTGAACCAACAGTGGGGAATCAGTCTACCAAATGTCCTTGATAGATGTAAATATCTTACAAAAACAATGGTGCCTAATTTGTTTAATTATTTTAAGGGACATAATTTCCAGCTTTATTCAAAGTAAATCAGATATTTTAGTATAAAAACGATGATTCACTGAGACAAATATGAACTGCCTTATTATATTCATTGTGTGACTACTGTATTATATGAAAAGTAAAAAAAAAAAAAAACCCTTTATGAATAGCTATCATGTTGCAAGCTCTGCTTTGTATGCAAATCAACTTAAATAGTTAGTTGGAGAGAAGTGGAGAAAAAAGTCAACAGTACTGTGGCCTCCTGAGAATCTACATCTTTAAACACTGCCATCTTTGTTTTTGAAGTGCGTTTTTAAATTAGTATTATAAAAGCTCTATCATTCTGTTCTAATAGCTGAAACTAATTTCTGTGAATTTTCATTTGTCGAATGAACTGTTTGTCAAATACAGAATACATATATTTTAGTACAATTTTCCTTTCAAAATGTGGATGCAACGTTTTGCTTTTTATGTATTTTTTATGCATTGTTTTTAATTTGATAACTTTGTACTAAAAAGATTTTCTATTAGCTTCCGATCTTGATCAAAGTTTGGCACCCAGTTCATAGGAGTGCTTATATTGATTTTCTGACATCTTGTTTTCTGTAAAGATTTTATTGGTAGGTTTGCAAATGTGTATCGGACTGTGAAACAACTCTCCCCATGAGTTGGTTTTGAAACCCAGTATGGTATTTCCATGGGATTTGGGGGGTACATTACCAAGGATAGTATTTCAATATAAATATTTTGCTTCATTGAACAATGCATATTTCCACTGAGATCAGTGTCTTTCGATGCGTATCACCAGTGATCAGTCAAGTAGAAACAGTCAAAATATTTTATCAGATTTTCTCAATTTTTGCATATTTTCATACAGGACATCTGTTGTTCAAACTCAGGGAAGACTTTAAACTGATGAATAAGGTGACCAAGTTTGATGAAGTTTGGAATAGAATTAGTAAAGTTATTGTGCACACAATAACAATTATTAACGACGACAACAACGACGACGACAACAATGACAGACACAAATTTTTGATGGTACGGGCAAGGTAATAATATATTTGACATACCAGGTTTGACATTGTAATGGAATTTTAGGCGGTCTACTTTTTAATTCAGCAAGAAAAAAATGTATCAAAATTTAGAATAGCATCTGCAATAGTTTCTTTTATCTTGGGTGGCCCAACTGCCAGCGTTGAAGTTGGATTTTTCGGATGGGCGAATTTACGGCAGAATCTGGTAAATGCATGGACCTTGAAGAAATACAAAATTGGATTGAATAATTTAATGCCAAATTCAAAGTCAGTGAATAATGACCTTAAAAGGTCATGGGTCAGTTGTGAGAGACCCTAGTACACTGTTTTACACCTACTGACTCAAGAAATGGGGGTATAAACACAATTTTTGGCACTCATTTTAACAAGTAGATTCTCTACATTTTGGTTGTATTCGCATATTTCTGCAGCTTCTCAGTTCTCAGCAGCTGAAACTAGTTGCTGAGAATTTTATTTTGTTGTGGACTTTGACCTACCTAATTTGAACCCTATCCTCATATATTTTGTATGTACTTGTAGCCCATAATCAAACAATGTAATTTTTATTTTGCTACCACGAGAACTAACAGAAAAATGCACTTTTTTAAATGTAAACAAAAACACTACTGCCAGCTGGTTTGTTTGCTTTCATTGTTTACATTAATATGATCACTATTTGTTTAGGAGCAGGTTTGCCCACTGGCTGATTAGTAGTACTTGACATCTCAGAAAAATTAAAAATTACTAGCTATTCAGTTGAGTGATGACAAGAAAAGAGAGAGAAAAGCTACATACATGTATTTTACCATGAAACATAAAGGGATTATAGGAACAAACTACGTACCTGAAAAATGGCCACCCAGGCATACAAAATATTATCAAAGTTAATTGCTCCCATAAAAGGATTGTAAGCACTATAGTCACATGTAGTATAGTATTTATTCCAGTTGATACATGATGATACATTGTAACCAGGGTCAGTATAATTCAGCCCAGCCTCTGCTGACTCATTGCATATTGTGCTTCCAATCCTGTAATTCGGCAAGTCAGAAGTACAGTGCAACATTCCTGCATCATTGGGCATCGTACATATATACTCCATTTCTGGTGATGGCTTATAAAAATCAGGTACATACCTATCATATTTAGCAGAAACAAGGAAGAGGAGAACACAGTAAGACAATGGAAGCACTCTGTTCACCAACCACATGATTATTATGTCATAGTCCCCATTGGAATTAGAGGAAATGTTATTCATACCAAAAATAAAGTAATATGTACCAAAAACATAATTAACAATTGAGAGTGAATAATTAGCTGGTCTAGTATCAACAGAAATTAGTAGTATTAAATGACTCTTCTAAAATCAGAATATATGGTCAGAAATTAAATAGGATATGCTATTCATGTATTTTTTTTATCCTAACTGAATTTCATTTGTACAGGCGCCAGGTACAAAGGATACAAAACACAAAAGGAAACATCATGGACATCATGGTATCTCGACATGTATAATATTTGTATCAAATTCGAAAAACAACAAATCCTGTCCAAGATACCACATTTTTAAACAAGCAGCCTGTCGGCTGAAATAGCTCCGCTGTTGGCAATGCACATCTCAATTAAAGAACTGAAGATATCATTAGAAAATGAACAATATGTATAGTATCAATGCAATGGGACTTGGTGTTTTCAACAAGAATTCAAAAATATCATTTTTGACCATAAATGATTGTGGTTTTTAACAAGAAGAAAATATCACTTTTTACCAAAAATGACAAAAACAATCATAAAAATTAGATAATTGAAAATATCACCACGAAATTAACAAATCTGAGAGAGGTTCACATGTAGTACATATATATGTAATATCAAAGCAATTGAACTTGCGGTTTTTAACAAGAAGTCAAAAATATCACTTTTTACCAAAAATGACAAAAATATTCACCAAAATTAGAGAATTAAAGATATCATTACAAAATGAACAAATCTGAGAGCGATCCACATGTAGTACCTATATATGTAATATCAAAGCAATTGCACCTGTGGTTTTCAACAAGAAGTCTAAAATATCACTTTTTACCAAAAATAACAAAAATATTCACCAAAATTTGAGAATTGAAGATATCATCACGAAATGAACAAATCTGAGAGAGGTCCACATGTAGTACCTATATATGTAGTATCAAAGCAATTGGACTTGCGGTTTTTAACAAGAAGTCGAAAATATCACTTTTTACCAAAAATGACAAAAATATTCACCAAAATTAGAAAATTGAAGATATCAACATGAAATGAACAAACCTAAGAGAGGTCTACCCAAGGTACATATACACCAAGTATCAAAGCATTCAGGCTTGTAGTTTTCAAGAAGAAGTTGAAAAAGTAACAACGACGACGACGGCGGACGACGACGACGGACGACGACGGACAATCACTCATATGATAAGCTCCGCTCGACAAAGTCGACAGCGGAGCTAAAAAGTAAAACATTGAAACAGACGACAGACGACGATGAACAATCACTCATATGATAAGCTCTGCTTGACAGAGTCGACAGTGGAGCTAAAAACTCATTAAAATGAGCTGTAATGTTCCTAAAGTTAGTCAGTGTTGTTTCAGATATATTACTATATATACTGTTGTGTTTAATTTTATTTGGAATCTCATTTATCACTTTTTGTTCATATTTCCTCTTGCAGAGTAAAAAACAGATCACTTCATCATCATTACTGGCAAGGAAAAAACACATTTGAAGAACTTATCCAAGTACCATAATTGATCAGCAACAATTACATTAGATGCTACTAAGAACTACTGTACAAAATGTTTGTGCAGATCAGATTGCAAAGCGATGAGCTATAATTCGATAACCAGATGAATTGGTCAAAGCTAGAATACCAAATTATGCAATTTTTGAATGGTTATAGCATCAAATCAGACAAAACAACAAAGAACTGTATTTATATATACAACGCACTCACCCTGGTCTTGAGACATTCACTGGCAATTCTAGAAAACATCTATTGCGCAACAATCCTGCCCAAAGCTGTACACCAATGATTCCAAAGATAAAGAATACAAAAAAACAAAGTAGCAAAACGTTACCCAACATGGGTAAGTGTCAAGAAGCAGCATCACTAATATACGCATACCTGAAAAACAAAAAAAATGTACAAGTTAAACAATGATTTCAAGAGAACGTGGAAATTAAGAAGAGCATATAAATGAGATTATCGTTCGATCATTATTTCATCGTGAGCGAATGATCCCGGTCACATTTTAAGCACTCGATGCTGTGGAAATGAATAACCACCATGTTTTGACCTGGGACGGTGAGTTTAACCTGAGAGGTCAAATCGCTAATTAACTAATGCCAACATGTTCAAATTACCATAGCTCATTTAAATATATTAATATTATTGAATGCAGCACAGAAGAGATTTGCCGATGTTGTTGTACGATCTTTTGGTTTGGATTGTTCATTTTCTAATGATATCTTCTGTTCTTTAATTGCAATGGGCCATTCCAGTTTATATCTGCAGTAAGTTCCAGACTCATTATGTATGCTGATGTAATGGTCTATTTATAGACAGTGGGGGTATATATAGGGGAGTTGTTCAGCACTGAGATCAGATTGGAGATCTCATTGAATTGTATTGGAGTTTAAGTATCTAGTTATTGGAGTAGTGGAGTTTTACCGCGTTATTGTACTTGATGTTTGCAGAGTATAATAAAACCAGTACCACTTGAAACCTCATCTGTTGGCTCCGTGTTCGTATTTTATCATCACCGCCAGGGAAGTCTTTCTGTTACTGTTGCCATTTTGGTATTTGAACCATCACACCTGTACTATACCAATTACGGTAATATTACGTTGCGTGTGACAAACACCATAAGTAGGAACTATAGTTTTGGATTTCCATTACTGTATGGTGAATGGTGATTTGGAAATAAAACTTTGTATGACTTATACACCCATGGAAATTATACCCTGTATGAAGTAAACACACAAGCTCATCAACAGGGGGTGCAGATATAAACTGGAATGGCCCAATGTGTCAAACCCTGTGAGATTGGTAATGGTACGACCCATCTGTCACTGATTCAGATCAAGGTCATGACATCACTAAAAATCTTAGCATTACAATCTAAGCTAATTATTTATTCTGAGCATGCTCAGTTGCTCTGTCAGTGCAGTAGGGAAAGGTAATTTAGGATGAACAAGTCATTGAA